TATATATATATATATATATATATATATATATATATATATATATATGTATGTATGTATGTATGTATGTATGTATGTATGTATGATCACATGCTGTTGTTCTATTTGTGCTAGTTGAGCATTAAGATGCAGAGGAGACTAAGGCGTTATTTGTTTGCACTTTATGGAGGTCTGAATCTTAATCATTCAGATTTCAGACATTAAGTGCGTTTGTTTTTAAAGTCTGAATCTTAATTATTCAGATCTTAATCATTAAGTGTGTTTGTTTTTTTTTTACTTCACGACTAAGATCTATAACAGACACTTAATTTTATTAAGATGTTATCATCCATATTTATTATTAACCGATGCCATTGCGTACCATTATCAACTACCACTATCCCACTCACCACCACCATACTCAACCACCATCGCCATCATCCTCATCATAGCCGCCACCATTGTCGACTACCACCACCCACCATCCCCACCACTCCCAACACCAACATTCTCAATGACAACCAACGCTCATCCACTTCAACTACCACAACTAACCACCCCATCACCATCAACAACCATAGCTGGCACTGCCCATCATTATAAACTACCACTACCCACCACATCACAACTACCACCACCACCACTCGCCATTATTAACTATCACCACCCACCACCACCATCCTCAATTATAATAGCTACCACTACCAATCACCACTAGCTACTACTCTAAACTACCACCATCAACCAAATCTACCACCAACCGCCGCTTTTAGTCAGCATTCACAAGCAGTCCCGTTAGCCATCACCACCAGCAACTATCATATTTTCAAAAATTATATATTTTATTGATGGAATATTAGATTAATTAGTAATTTATTTGAATTTTATGTTATTAATTTTTAAATAAAGGTAAATTTTATACATTCAGACGTTAAAAGTCAAACAGTCTTAATCATTTAATATTCAGATCTTAATACACATCTTCTCATTCAGATGTGTATTTATCATTCAGATGTGTATTCAGATTTAGATGTTTTAATCTTAATACGCATCTTGATATTCAGACGTGTATTCAGATTCAGACGTCTTAATCTTAAAAAATAACAAATGAGGCCTAACACCTGGGATTTCATAATTTAATCTAGGGATATAGTTGGGCTTAGGTATTTGTTGTGTCCACTGTCAACGTGTAGCAGTGTGAGCCTCCAATTTCTTAAATGTCAATGTGTAGCAGTGTGAGCGTCCAATTTCTTAAATGTGTACATGCAGGTTTTGGATGGAACATTCATGGAGGAGCCTGGATCTGGTGCTGTAGGGTATATTGATAATAAAAGGATTTCTGTCGGCACACTGGAATGGGTCAAAAGGTAGCTTCTTCTTTTTGCTTTTATCACTATCTTTTTCTGTTGAACACTATTTTATCCTTTTCAATACAGTCCCAGTTAGATGCTACATCTTGAAACTGTGCAGGCATGGAGTTCTTGAGAATCCGCTCCTAGAATTTGATGACTTTAAGAACCAATCAGTAGTATATGTGGGAGTTGATGGCGTCCTTGCTGGTCTAATTTATGTTGAGGATCAGATCAGAGAAGACGCAAGGCATGTTGTAGAATCTCTGTCGAAACAAGGGATTAGCACTTACTTACTGTCTGGTGACAAAAAGAATGCTGCCGAGTACGTCGCATCTGTTGTTGGCATCCCTAAGGAAAATGTAAGCGGTTTCATCTTTCTTAAGACCAGAATCCATCTTAGTTCTGGGACCATTCTTTATATCTTTTTGTGTATTACAAGCTGCCTAGTGGACCTAATGATTCCAAAGGAAAAGATCCACAATAAGTAATATAGCTAATGGATCATCAGAAAAAAGTGATATAGCTAATGATAGTAAGTAACTGCTGCGCTGAAGAGAAATATGCATCGTAAAAGCAAAGTAGCAAAAACTGCTAGGAGGAAGTTTTTATGAGCTTTATAATAATAAGACCTTGATCTCTGGTCATCCTTACAGAATTTGTACTTCGTGTCGTTCATTGCCTTTTTATTGTGATAAGAGAGAATGGTAGAAGTCCATAACTGACAGTTCGCAAGATGGTTCTTAATAGGATGTACAGCTTATTATGTGGTGACGACACCAATATTTGGACTACACTGAGATGTGAAAGAATTAGCTCATTATATTGTTTCCACAATTCCACTATAGTTTCGGTACAGAATGTAGGTTCTTTATGGAGAATTAGCTTAGCAGAAATTAGGGCCAATAGGAATCAGCATCTGTTTCCTTTTATTCACAGTTGATAATGGCTAACTAAATAGAAATTTGTTATATCGAATTTTCCTGTTCCCCCTGCTTTTTAAAAATGTCCATGAAAATGGATTAATCCGGTCAATCTTGTTGGAGTAGAGCGAGACATATAGTCATGAAATTAGGTGTTCTGTGAAGGATATGGTAAATTAACTAGCAGATTTAAGACGAATACTAACCTCTACGGCCATCACTGTGCATGGAAATTCTCCTGTTTTAGTATGTTCGAACTGAATAAAAGTTGAAAGATCTAACTTTTTGGATCAATTAGTTGGACCTTCCTCCTAATATAATAAAACTAAAAAGGGTTATCAAAAACGTATAATGACACTAAAAGAACATCTCTCCCGTTCAATAATATTTGACACCTCTCCACCTAATGATATGAGCAGATTAAAATTGCATGTGTTTTGACAAAAATTCTAATCCTCCTGTCATACCCTGTTTTCTTTGTTTCCTGAGCGACATATCCTTTCATTGTTATTCGGTTATTCCTTATTTTAGTTTCCAACTTTCAGATTCTCAAATTGTGAGGATAGTGAAGACTTCTTCATTCTAGAAACATCCTAAGAAACTAACTATAAAAATAACCATAGTTCAAAGCACCTTCTTTCGCACACAATCAAAAGCCTCCTTTATCATTCAACACGAATTCCTAACTATTCCTTTAAATCAATTTGTACAGATTGATATAGAAGGACAACAAATAGAATCAGAAATAGAAAAGAAAGCATAGGGACCAAACATTAACGAGAATAAGTGGTAGGGAGGTCTGATGCTGGCTGGAATACTCACGAAGGAATGACCGTGATGGTTGTTTGCAGGCTGGGATGACATTTGTGCACCAGTGCAGGGGGAGGGGAGGGGAGGGGTAATTAATCCACATGAACAGTGGTGTGCTGGTGTCGGTTTCCTTAAATATGGAAAGGTGGGGCTCGGTGGGTTTGAGTGGGAGAAATAGAAACTAGTCCGAGGAGGAGATGAATACTCTCTCTCTCTCTCTCTCTCTCTCTCTTTTCATTTTTCAAGTATTAAGTTGCTTCAAACTTTTTTTTTTTTGAGAGGTAACAATTTTATATAAATATGATAAAGTAAACCTTAGCACAAAGATTGTGCTAAGAGTAAAACAAAGTTACAAGACCCCCCAAAAAGAGCAAAAAACCTAGTCTTGTGGTAGTTACAAGGATCCAATGATGTTCACTACAGACTCTACATCCTCTACAAGGGCTTCTTTACACCAAAAGTGAAACAAAAATATACAATCCGTCTGTATCTTCTTTCAAAATTAGCTCTATCTGTAAAGCATCTTGAGTTTCTTTCCTTCCATATTGTCCACCAAATACATGCTGGAATCATGCTCCACCATTTTTCTGCCTCTGTCAAATAGCTGGATCATTCCAGCATGCTATCATTTCTGCAGTTGTCCTAGGAACTGTCCAGCTCAACCCTTTCATACTGATGAATAAATACCACAACTTGCTGGTTATTCTGCAATGTAAAAAGAGGTAACTATTTGTTTCAATCTCGCCTCCATACAAAAGCACTTTGAGCACAATGGCATTCCTGTTCTCATCAAACAGTCACGAGTCAGAACAGCTTCTTTGATACAAGCCAACCAAAAACATGCTATTTTAAAAGGGATTTTCACCTTCCAGATGTGTTTACAGTGCCATGGCCCTGCTTGTAGTTGTCCGGAAATATTTAAGTATCATATGCTGACTTCACAGTATATACTCCTTTGCTATTTCTTCCCCATACAATTTTGTCCTCTTCTTCTACAGTACCTTTGAAACTAACCAGCAATTTGAAGAATTCAATCACTCTAGTAAACTCCCAGTCATTGAGGAGCCTTCTGAAGGTAACATTCCAACCCTGTAGGCTCCATGTCTCAAACTTTTCACAAGGGTATCATAATCTGTGTTGCTATCATATTTTGCTGACACCATTTGTTTTAAACAGATGTTTAACACTTCATAGTGGCGAAATAGATATGTTTAATAGAACGTCAAACTAGGGAGGAGCTCTATTTACTTTTTTGTTAAATTAGGATGGTCAAACTAATTAATCCTATCTTTTTGGGCTTTTTTCATTTTTAGCCCGCGCTAGAAACTATTTACATATGGTAGCCGAAAAAGTGTATAAAATTTGTATAATTTTTGTATATAACATGCACAATGTATATATATACAAAAAAATACAAAAGATATACATTTTTTCGGCTATTATTTTGAGAGCGGCTATACAATGTCATTTTCCCTATCTTTTTTATTTCACTGCCTGAGACTGGAGCTTGTCACTGTGAGAATGCACGGGAGAAAATATTATTAATTTTCTAGTGTTGTACAACGCCCTATTTATATACAATGATTACATAATAATAGGTATCTACTTTCCGATGTGGGACATTATACATGACTAACTACTTAAGACTCCCCCTCAAGCCGGTGCATATAAATCATATGTACCGAGCTTGTTACAGATGTAACTAATACGAGAACCAGTAAGAGACTTAGTGAAAATATCTGTTAGCTGATCATTCGACTTCACAAACTTTGTAACAATATATCCTGAGAGTATCTTTTCTTTGACAAAGTGACAGTCGATCTCATTGTGTTTAGTCCTCTCATGGAACACCGGATTTGACGCAATATGAAGAGCAGCTTGATTATCACACACCAGTTTTATCTTGCTGATTTCTCCGAACTTCAACTCCTTGAGCAACTGCTTGACCCAAACTAGCTCACACGTTGCCATAGCCATGGTGCTACTAGATCGAGCAACTACATTCTGTTTCTTGCTCTTCCAAGAGACCAAATTACCTCCTACTAAAACACAATATCCAGACGTAGAACGTCTATCAGAAGGTGATCCTGCCCAATTAGCATTTGTACCCAACAATCTGCTCGTGGCCTCGATCGTCGAATAGTAATCCTTTGCCTGGAGCTGACTTTATATACCGAAGAACGCGTACAACTGCATCCCAGTGACTATTATAGGGAGAATCCATAAACTGACTTACAACACTCACCGGAAAAGAAATGTCAGGTCTAGTCACTGTGAGGTAATTCAATTTGCCAACCAACCTCCTATATCTCGTAGGATCTGTAAGAGGCTCCCCCTGTCCAGGCAGAAGCTTAGCATTCAGATCCATAGGAGTGTCAACAAGTCTGTAGCTCATCATTCCAGTCTCCTCAAGAATGTCTAAGGCATACTTCCGCTGTGAAATAACAATACCTGAGCTAGACTGAGCGACCTCATACCTAGAAAATACTTCAATCTGCCCAAATCCTTAGTCTGGAAGTGCTGAAAGAGATGCTGCTTCAGATTAGTAATACCATCCTGATCATTGCCAGTAATAACAATATCATCAACATAAACCACTAGATAAATACACAGATTAGGAGCAGAATGCCGATAAAACACAGAGTGATCAGCTTCACTACGAGTCATGTCGAACTCCTGAATAACTGTGCTGAACTTACCAAACCAAGCTCAAGGGGACTGTTTCAAACCATATAGTGACCTGCGCAATCGGCATACAAGACCACTAGACTCCCCCTGAGCAACAAAACCAGGTGATTGCTCCATATAAACTTCTTCCTCAAGATCACCGTGGAGAAAATCATTCTTAATGTCTAACTGATAAAGAGGCCAATGACGTACAATAGCCATGGATAAAAAGAGACGAACATATGCTACTTTAGCCACGGGAGAGGAAGTGTCACTATAATCAAGCCCAAAAATCTGAGTGTATCCTTTTGCAACAAGACGAGCCTTAAGCCAATCAACCTGACCATCTGGGCCGACTTTGACTGCATAAACCCAACGACAACCAACAGTAGACTTACTAGCTCCCAAGTGCCACTCGCATGTAAAGCAGACATCTCGTCAATCATAGCCTGTCGCCATCCTGGATGAGATAGTGCCTCGCCTGTAGACTTAGGGATAAAAGAAAACAGAGGACAAAGATAATATAAAAGCATAATGAGGTGATGACAGACGATGATAACTTAAACCGACATAATGGGGATTAGGATTAAGTGTGGATCGTACACCTTTGCGGAGTGCAATTGGTTGACTAAGAGGAGACAAGTCCCCAGTAGGTGTCGAATATGATGCAGGACGTGAATCACCTGGGCCTGATGCTGGACGTGGATGATGATGATAAGGCATGAGTGGTGGAGCTGCAGAACGTGGAACTGGAGCTATAGGTGGTGGAGCTACAACTGGAGCTGTAGGTGGTGGAGCTGGAGTTGTAGCGGAAGATGAAGGGAGATAGTGATTGAATCTCCAAAAGATAAAATTGGTAGCACTTCAGAAATATCTAAGTGATTACGTGAACCTATGAAGTATGATTGGGTTTCAAAGAAGTAACATCTGCGGATATAAGGTACAGCTGGAGGTCAGGAGAATAGCATCGATACCCCTTGTGCGTTCTCGAGTAACCCAGAAATACGCACTTAAGAGCACGAGGAGCTAACTTATCTTTTCCTAGAGTAAGGTTATGAACAAAACACGTACTTCCAAAGACACGGGGTGGAAGAGAGAACAAAAGTAAGTGGGAAAACAAGACAGAGAATGGAACTTGATTCTGGATAGCTGAAGATGGCATACGTTTAATAAGATAGCAAGATGTATGAACTGCATCCCCCCCAAAACGCAACGGTATATGAGATTGTATGAGTAGGGTACGAGCAGTTTCAATAAGATGTCTATTCTTTCTTTCAGCTATCCCATTTTGTTGAGATATGTACGGACAAGATGTTTGATGAATAATCCCATGAGAGTTCATAAACGACTGAAATGGGGAAGACAAATACTATAGGGCATTATCACTATGAAATGTGCGGATAGAAACCCCAAATTGATTTTGAATTTCAGCTTGGAAGGTCTGGAAATAGAAAACAACTCAAATCGATTTTTCATCAAAAATATCCAAGATGAAAAGTGCACCAGGAATAATCATCAATGAAACTTACAAAGTAGCGGAATCCCAACGTAGAACTGACCCGAAGGACCCCAAACATCTGAATGGACTAAAGTAAAAGGTGAAACTGCTCGATTATCAAGACGCCGAGGGAAATGGGAGCGGGTATGCTTACCGAGTTGACATGACTCACACTCTAGAGTGGACAAGTGAGATAAACCAGGTATCATTTTCTGAAGTTTTGACAAATTGGGATGTCCCAACCGTTTATGTAATAAATCTGATGAATCGGTAACAGAACAAGTTGTTGAAGGAAGACAAGATGTGAGTCCATGTGATTTTGCAAGGATAAGGTAATAAAGTCCATCTGATGCACGTTCGGTACCAATGATCCGCCCTGTACTGCGTTCCTGTATAAACACAAGGTCATTAAGAAATAAAACAGTTGGCTAAGAGACTAACGGCTATGAGATTAAAAGAACTATCGGGAACATAAAGAACTGAATCTAAAGGTAATGAAGGAAGTGGACTTGCTTAACCTATTTCAGCTGTCATGGTTTGAGACCCGTTGGCCATTGTGACTGTTGGAAGAGATTGAGAACATAAAATAGTAGTGAAACGAGATTTGTTACCAGAAATATGATTAGATGCACCTGAATCAATGACCCAAGACTCAGAGGTTGAGATTGGGAGACACAAGTCACGATACTATCTGTTTGAACAACGGAAGCTATCGCTGAAAATGTTTGTTTACATGCTTGGTACTGAAGGAACTCAATATAATCCGGTAAAGAAACCATCTGGATTGGATTCAATGAATTAGATCCAACGGATTGTGAGTTAAAGGCTTCTGATACGAATGCCATTATAATGTTGCGTCGGAAAAAGCAAAAATTTTCTGGAAATTACTGTTTACGGCGGAAAAATCACTGTTCATGCCGGAAAAATATAAAAATGATTGGATTTTGATTTAAACTTAGAATGAAAAGACTCGGAATAACCTCTTGAGTAATCTGTCCAAAAGAAGTTTCGTCGGAAAAATCACTGTAGCCGTCGGAAAGTCAGTGAAGTTGCTGGAAAATCTCAAAGTGATCGGAATAAAAAGAAAAAGGTATGGGTAGACTCGGAATTACTAGGCGATCCGACTGTTCAACTAGAACTTGTTCAAAATCTGGCCGGAACAGGGCTCATCAGATCTCGCCGGAAAATATTTTCCTTTTCCGGCGCGTGAGGGCGCGTGGATGTGTGTTTTTCAGTGGGGTTGACTGGGGTTTGGTCGCCGGAGCCTGAGGAGTCTTGTGGTGGTGTTGGTTTTTGCACAGCACCAGCAGAAAGTGATTTGCTTACGGACAACCTTCTAAATCAACGAAAAATTGCACGGCGACGAGGTCTTTCTTCCCGGAAGTTGCTGGAATGATGCACAACGATAGGTTTCTCACTAATGCTCTAATACCATGTGAGAATGCACGGGAGAAAATATTATTAATTTTCTAAAGTGTTGCTCAACGCCTTATTTATATACAGTGATACATAATAATAGGTATCTACTTCCCGATGTGGGATTCTATACATGACTAACTACTTAACATTCACCTTATTGGCTCTTTAGTTTTACTGTTACAACCTCTAAAAAGGAATACGTGGATCACTAGTACAGAGACCTCTGACCTGGGAGGTTTTTATTGTATGTTTAGCTTTTGATAATATATTCGAGATGTAATTTTATTGGATTCAATTGGGAAATGCATCTCTTATTGCTCTCTGTCATCTTTTCCAAAATTAAAGGACAGCATTATACGTAAGTGTGTCGGCAATAGAAGCTAAAAGACAAGTGCAGAAGTGGAATATAACAAAAAATCCTGGTCCCAGATTGGCTGTACTCATTAGTCTTGCACATTTATTAGAAATAAAATTTTTACTGCATTTCTTTTTGGTATTATATGCATGTTTATTTTGGTCTGTATAAGCACTGCCTTTGACAGAAATATTTGTTAAACTGTTTTAACCCTTTTGCTAAAACACATTACAACAAGTTCTACATCACTTAATTAGAAATGCCAATAAGATAAATGGTTGAATTCAGGTATTTTATGGAGTCAAACCAGATGAAAAGAGTAGGTTTGTAAGCAGACTACAAAAGGATCAGAGAGTTGTAGCTATGGTCGGCGATGGAATAAATGACACTGCAGCCTTGGCATCAGCACATGTAGGAGTAGCTATTGGTGGTGGAGTTGGAGCTGCAAGTGATGTGTCTTCTATTGTACTGATGCACGATCGGCTATCTCAGGTTTTCCTCCTCTCTTTTTTGCAACTTCCTTACCATTCATGTTCTTTTGTCTTTTCTGGAACTAGAGTAACCTTGCCTCAAGCTGCAAACATGGTCTCTTGGTTTTTTTCCTCCAAGGTTTCATCTTGTTATCTATCCATCTCTCTCCACCTTCAGAATACATGCTGAAAATATTGTATTTCTACAGGTATAAATAGTTATTGCATTATACTTAAACTACTAATGGGATTGTTTGGAACGGATTACTACTTTTTCTAAAAGAGCCATTTGAATAATGAATTCCCTGAATCCCTGACATAGCATTTGGGAATGAAAAATCCCATGCTTATATGTTAATTTCTGAGCATCTTGAATAAGTTGACTGTTCAAATATGCAATACCTAGCCTCAAAGGACCATCTGCAGGTGCTTGTCACATACACCTTATCTAAACATTTACTTACCTTGTTCGAGAGAGCACGATTTTAATTAATCGTGTCTTCTATATGCTCATGTACAGGTTTTGGGTTGAATCTTGAATCTACAAATACACACACACACACACACACACACACACACACATCGATACATTGATCTAGATCTGGATACTAAAATTTTTTTATGATGTTTTATCTTGCACGATGTGTTGTACCATAATTTTTGAACAAAATCACCTTGCTGCAGTTGCTCGATGCTCTGGAGCTAAGCAGGCTAACCATGAAGACTGTAAAACAAAATCTTTGGTGGGCCTTCGGATACAACATTGTAAGTTTTTTCATCTTAGCTGTCCATTAAGCGGACAGGAAGTGTTTCTATGTGCATTATCATTTTGGACAAACAAACTGGTTAATCCATAGAGAACAATGATTTGCTACATGCAAAACATTGATTCAGGACTTAAAATGACCATTATTAAAGCGTATTCAAACTTGTGGGAGGGGAGAAGACTCTTGCTTCTTGTCCTCCACGGTAAGTCGTTCCTTTTGGACACCTAACCAATATCTGTCAGTTTGCTTGAAATCACTGATGGGAATGCTCTTTATTCTTTCTTTTACCTTGTCCCCTCTCTTTCCTTTTGGTGCATTTCCTTTTTTTTTTCAAGATCTTGAGTAGTCGGTCACATATTGAAGATCTAAAACTACGTATATGTCACATATCTGATTCCATATTAATCTTGCTGCTGATAATTTGTGTGCAATTGTATCCGCAATTGAGATATTCATACATTTTATTTGGTTTCTTCTTCATATTGTCTTTCTTCTCATCTTTGCTCACAACAGGTTGGAATTCCAGTAGCTGCTGGAGTCCTGCTGCCGTCTACTGGAACCATGCTTACTCCGTCAATAGCAGGAGCTCTCATGGGTTTGAGCTCTATTGGCGTGATGACAAATTCATTGTTGCTGAGACTCAAGTTTCAATCAAGGCAGAAGGAAATTCATGGACCATCAGTAATAGTTGAAATTCCTTCTGATGCTTCTGATAGCTTGAATCAAGAAAAGTTAAGACACCCGTATCCAACCTCCAGATAGTGTCCTACAAAGCCAAGTCAGTGATTGATTCTGACATTCAATTATCCTCGGCTTCAGATACCTACCATTTGAAGGGATCCTAACCGTGTAACTGTGCAGTTTGAAGGGACGGGAATAGTGGAATATGCTCAGCTCAAGCTTATGCGGGTTTATATGGTTGGGAGATCGAGAATCATTTTGTTCATCACAGCCTACACATGCTAACTACTTAGTGAGTATATAAGTTGCTAGGCACTGAATCGACCTGTCTAGGAGTTGCATACAGTTTGGTTAATGATGTGAAGTGTAATTGTCAGTTCGTGCCAAGAAAATGCCACTGGTAGATCTCAATGAATTTGAGGTGCAGAATGTCGTCCATTATCGCCTTTATTTTTTAAAACCGAGATCTACACAACATGCCAAATGAGGATGATGGGCTGCAATAAAGATATAGAAGATATCCAGTTCCCCGTCAGTATGGATTGGAGGAGGAAAATGAAGCGTCTAGATATAAATCAATGTACTGTAGTCCAATCTTAAATTGTGTTGGAGTTGGCAATGTCATTCTATCATATTTGGATTCATTTCATTCCAGTGCTAAGTTGTTACATCATTTAAGGTAAATTCTGTAACTATAGATAAATATTGCGCGTAAACCAACATACAAGTTTAACACCCAAATCTTAAACTAAGCTAGTCTATATATCATTGGATATTGCTTTCTTTTTGTTTCTCTTCAGTAAGTTAGCATTGATTTTGCGAGTTTGTAGATACTTCTTCCAAACAACTTTTGGTCTGTGAATTTGTCCATTTTTTGAATAGTCACCGAATTTCCATGAATAGGGTCGAAGTTTATTTTGTGGTATTTTACATAAGATTCTCTTTAAGAAACTATTAGACGTCTTTTGTCGAGCACATTTGCAATAAATAAAACAAAGTAGAGCAATGTAGGGATTCTATACCTAAATGGACTCATCACCGCAATGAGCTGCAAACACATCACTCATCCCACAAGCAAAAACCTTAAAATTTACCCACAAGGTTGAACATCATGCATTAGTAAAAAAAGAATTACAATTACATGGATTTGCATGTCTTGGCAATCATTACAGTCCCGGGTGCAACCCGACAACAAACTTGGGTGACGAATCCGTTGTACAACTATAACAAACGCAAAATCTTCCAAGCTTCTAAGACGAGGGACATCAAAATTCAGCTCTGCAATAAGCAAGACAGGCGTGTGGCCATTTCTGTGCATCCATCGATCAAATGTGTGGCATTGATTATGCTGTACATAACAGCCAAGTTGACCGATAGGCGATTACCTAAATTTTTGCCAAAATAGCCCATATGGACCTTTTCAGAAAAAGCCAACTCACACCATATATTGCATGCCAACTTGCACTAAATGTGAATGTGGGACACTCAAATTGGCAATTCCCCTCCTACTATTCTTTCTCAAGAAAGCGTAAAAATAATTTATGATAAGCTTCTTAATGAACCATGAATCCTTCCTCGCCCTAATATCTCCATGACCAAGAAGATAGACAACACCAGATTCTTTAGCCTTGCGAATGAACGAGAGCTCCTTGTCAAGGGATTGTTCTGCATCAGACAATAACGACTCAGAAGAAGTCCCAGGTTTCAGCTCTTCTGAAGTGCTTTCTTCCATAACTGCCTTTCCTGTGTCCCTAAAATCCGCTAAGAGAGGAACACCTAGTGAATAAACACTTCCATTTGGAGCTACAAGAACCCTTGAGAAGGCATACTCTTCTTCAGAGTCCGAACCATCGCCATCACTTTCAAGTGATCGCTCCTGAGCTTCTCTACGTATGAACTTCTCGAGACTTTCAATGAGCAGTTGCTCAAAAGTGTGGTGATTTTCTTTACGAGCATCCTTGTACCCATATCTGTGGGTCCAAAGTTTTGGACAGAGAAATTAGTAGCCAAGAAAACTTAAATGCACATCAATTGCAGAAGAGAATGCAAATATTACGACAGGAAACTGTTGAAATCTATAAGCATCCAAAGCAGAGGGCATACGAAGATAAGCTGGTCGTTTAGCTATTACTTGTTTAGAGAAAAGAATTAACCATCATACACATAGGTTTGCCCTAAAGATTAAAGAAATTTCCAGCTTCTCAAAGGTGACGGTCCGCCACACATTCATTTAGCCATCTGTCATGCAGCAGTCTTAATAAGGTTGGTCTCAGGATTTGTGCAAGCGTGTAGATTTACTCTAGCTCTCTGTCACATCAGTTGGTCTATGTAGTGAAGGCACTAGCAAAACAGGGAAATTTAGTATACCTGGCAACACAACGGAATATGTGGTAGTTTTTGGGGCAGACTCGCCGGAACAGGAACCTTTCATTCTGAGGTACAACTGGAACAGGAACATATTTTATACAAACAAAAATGATCATGGAATGCACAGCAGGTAGAGTGGTGAGAAAGTGTCCGAATATGGCTGGTATTCCCTTTGCTAGTTCATTATAAAGCAAGCCAATTCCAGGAGCTCTGATAGTTCCAAGGTTGGGGCCCAGTTCCCGCAACAAATCCATAGACATCTTTTTCTTGACTTCAGTTTCATACTTCAGCTTGCTTCCATAATTCCAGATGTACATAATCAGGAACAAGACTACAGCAAAGACAAGTATAATCCAACTTCCATCTCCCACACTCCATAAAACAGATGAGAAGAATGTTAACTCCAATCCCAAGAATATAATGAGAAAACTTAGCACAATTAAGATGTTGATCTGCCATATCAGAAGCATAACAATAGTAACCAATATTGTTGTCATCATCATGACCCCAAGCTCCGCTACAGCTGTCAAACAGGGTTTGCATAAGAAAACAACAAGGTAGTCAATAAATAATTTGATGAAAACTTGGAAGCACCTTATGTTTTTCATCTAAAAAGACATAACTCTAAATTGAACACCAAAAACTACAAGAATGTTTTCTCCTGTCTACCATGGTTCACAAGCAATAACTCTTCATACCAGAGGTACGTTAAGTTTCTTCACGAACAAATCAATCATTGTACATATACTACACACTTCAAACGGACTGTACCACAAAAGAATATGTAGAACATCTGATGCATGAGAATTAGGGTTTCAATGACAACAAACCAGCATTTTGTCAAACAGTTGTACAAGTGTTTCCTGTCATCTTCAAATCTTGGCTTTGATAACTTGAAAAATAAAAGTAAAATATTGAAAGATAGTACGACACTAAAGATTTTCACAAATGAGTTTGAAAACACACTATGCTTCTGAAACACCAGACAAATCAATGTAATAACAAGTTAACAATATGGTAGTTTTTTTTTAATAATAAGTGACCATGTTATATAAATAAAAGAAGCACAACGATTATGTAGTGGTTACATCGGAAAACAAGTTAACAAATAACAAGACAGTAGATGGACAAGGTATTTCAATTTTGTATCTACCAACTTTCAAATATTAATCAGGAAGCTCCATGTGCACATCACAACAAACAATAAATATTAAGGTAAAACAGAGAGCAATCAGCAACGAAATTGCAAGGTCTAAAGAGAAAGATTACCATAAGCATTTCCAATCTCATATATACTTGAGATAGAGCAGACCAACACCAAAGACAACGCCAGAAGAAACCAGTTCATGACTGGGATATAAATCTGACCCATGAACTTCCGAGACGTATGAACAATCTTAAGGCGAGGGAAGCAGCCTAGAGCTGTAGATTGTTTAATGCAAGAAAAAGTTGCTGTGGTCATTGCTCTACTGGCAATCAAAGCAGCTATATTGGCAATCAAGAAGACAGGCCAGAAAGCTCCACCTGCATACAATTGCAGAATTTCACCCATCGAGTACTTTGTCTGTGTGCCCTTTTATATTCAGAAACGTATCTGTAATGAAAACTACACACAATCATGACACTTCTGTTTCGATATATATTGTTATATCTCCCATCATTATTCTCATAATTTTTTCAAAATTAATTATAAATAAACAAGATGTTCTCAGAGTGAGCGCTGCAGGACTAGAAACTTACTTGGCACAGAAGAGAAGAAAGCTTGTGTTGTATCGGCATGGTTCTCCATCAGGTAAGCAGCTTGACCAAGGTATCCCAATAGAAGGCATGGCAACACAAGGAACATAAATGTAAGCTGTAAATTAAACAACGTTATATAATCAATAACTATCTGTCAAATTGGACATCATTAGTGACATAAGAGGGAGGCAGGGTTATATCCCAAAGATGCATGGATCTATGGTATTATATTAATTGCAGCACCCATTTCCACCAAAAAAGTCTCGTGCTGCATACCTGAACTGACCTCACTGAAAAATAGCAAAGATCTGCAAACATTGCCTCAGAACCTGAATTTCAGAATTAGTGATCAGCTGTATATCTCAGAAAATATATTTAAAAACAGCTATAATGGAAAAATTATAAACACAACATATCCTAGAAATTCAAAAAGGAGATACTCGATCTGTTGTATGCATTTTATAAGCCCAAACAAACTCTTCGAGAAAAAAGGGTGATACAACAGATAAGCAAAAGCTATCTTTGTCCAGGTGGTACAAGAAAAACATTAGGAAAATACTGTGGGCCCAATATCAATGCCAAGGTTAAAGGTTTATGCCATTCAAAATCCATGCTCTCGCAAAAGAGAGGTAAAGAAAATAATTTGTCAAACCCCTATGTGTATTCTTTAGTCAAACACATGGAAGAGTTATACCCTGGCGGGTTGGACCAAAACCCAAAAACTAAGTTCTTGAAGCAGAACAATCAGCAGAAGATTACACAAGTAGAACTAGGACGCAATAATTAATAGGCCAAGCGATACGAACACGAAGAGGCATTTTGTTATGTTTTCCTCACAAGACAACACGCTAATTAGAAGACAAAGCTTAATTTTTAGAACTGGTTATGTTGCATATAAAAGTTTGACCCAAAGTTTTACCCTTTAGAAAAAGTTAAGGACCAAAAAAAAGAGAAAATGATACTATATAGCCGCTCTCAAAGTAATAGATAAATATATATTTTGTATGTTATATACAAATTTTATACACTTTTTCGGCTACTGAATGTAAATAGTTTCTGGCTCGAGCTAAAAGTGAAAAAAACCCAAAAGGAAATGCATGTCTCTAAAAGAGGCCCTTACTTAGAAGGGCTTCACGATCTCAGTGGATTCTATTTTATTGTAACTGCATTGACCACGCAGGTTAGGACAAGAAAAAGAGAAATAACTTAGAGAAGGCAACTTTCATACCCTACAACGGAAATGAGAATACAGCAATGTGAACAAGCTTATTAAGGTGATTAGAAAGATAGTCAAGATGGAAATTTGATCAAACACCAGATTGGGAAGTGAAATGATAATTGTTTCACACGTAGCATGACTTCTACTGGCCCTAATAAAAAACCCATCACTTTTACAGGCAAATCTAGTTCAAGCGGAATCTGCAAAATGCACTAATCAGTGTCGAAGGAAACAACTTAAAAGGCATCCATGTCCAAGGGCCGCCTTTTTACCAGAACTTGAAAAAAGTTCATGCTAAAGCCCTATCTATCAAGGGAAATCTCTGGAGCTGCAACCTTTTGGTGATTCACATCAAGCAATATATGTGAGTCCCAAAACTTTACTTCTTCAGTGGAAGCCAATTTAGTAAGTCACTTCAGCCTGCAAATACTTATCTTGCCATAACCCCTAGTACACACACAAACCCAATCTCGTTCTCTTAGGGCTATGATAGCACTATGTTTAAATTGACTTCCCCTAGGGGGGAGAGAGAGAAAATAAGAAATGGATAGGTTTAAAATGATGTTTCTTAGCAATAAGCTTGCAGGAAAATGTTAATGAAGGAAATTGCAAATACATCTCATGTTGTGCCAATATGAAGAGAATAGAGAAGTCCAACATTCAGAAAGCAAGCTCAGTGGAGCAAACATCAACCTTCTTGACTCAACTCAATTGAACCCCATGGAAAAAAGGTGCTTACAAGGTTGGACAAAATCAGGAGGGACTTTCTCTGGGAAGGAAACAGCAGCTCTCACAAGTATCACTTGATAAAATGGGATAAGGTCTTGCAGCATAAATGCAATGGTGGACTGGGGGTGAGAGATCTAGACATGCACAATAAAGGTCTGCTAATGAAATGGCTCTGGAGATATGGCACATGTGAACCAAGTCTATGGAAGGAGGTGATTAACGCAAAACATGGGCTTAAAGACAATTGGAGCACCAAAACTGTCAATGCACCCTATGGAGTAAGGCCCTGGAAGTATATTAGCAAACTGGGGAATGAATTTTTTCAGAATATTCATTTCAAGCCAGGCAGTGGAATTCACATTAAGTTTTGGAAGGATAGATGGGTAAACAACATTGCTCTCATGGAGGACTATCCTAGCTTATTCAACATTGCCTTGGACAAGAATTCTTCAGTTGCTCATAACAGGGCAATAATAATTTGGATGTGCATCTCAGGAGATCTGTTCAAGACTGGGAGATGGAAGACTTGATGGAAATGCTAGCAAGATTGGAGGCCTACAACATTGATGAGAATGTTTCAAACAGTTGAGATGGGGCTGTAAGGGTTTTTTCAATGTTAAAGATTGCTATAGGCAACTTAACAATCAGAATCAGGTATTGCACTCATGGCCTTGAAAACTGATATGGAGGACAAAATTACCAGTGAAGGTGACATGCTTCAATTGGATTACCCTTCATGAAGCTTGCTTAACACAAGATAACCTTAACAGAAGGGGATTTCAGCTGGTCAACAGATGTTATCTTTGCATGAGGTACCAGGAAACAGTTAGTCACCTATTTCTGCACTGCCCAGTAGCCACAGACCTATGGAACATGTTCTACTGTATTTTTGGCCTAAGTTGGGTCATGCCACAGAGCCTGAGAGAGGCACATATGAGCTGGAGTCTTTGGGAGGTTGATAAGGCCATCGAGAAGATCTGGCTTATGACCCCTGCAACTATTTTTTGGTGTTTATGGAATGAGAGGAATACAAGATGTTTTGATGGCACCTCAACTCCAAACCACTTACTCAAATCTAAATGCTTGCTCAATCTTTTTTGCTGGACAAAGTTGTCCCCCGTAAACAGTACTGGACACCTTTTAGATTTTATTAGCTCTCTTGTCCTAGATTGAAACTTTGTTTTGGGGCAAACAATGATCTCCTGTATTTTTGTTTATTTTGCAAATATGCCTCTTCTAACTTTGCATCTTCTTGATGCCTTTTTAATGAAACATATTACTTCATTTAAAAAAAAACATGGAAAGAAAAACACATAGAACCATTCCTTTAGTTTTCAGGCCATCAAATTACAGTGTCAACTATCAAAAAGAATCAGTTCTCAGGTGTCTACCTGTTGCACACAAAAGACAACCACCAAGAGAGTACCAGGCCTTTGTTGAGTTTCGCTTGAAATAATAGTATATGTGAACAGGATTAAATGCCCTCCAAACACGAGAATCATACTTAATGAGGTTGTAGACACCAATACCACCCAGGGAACAAAACCATATAAACAAAGCAGGACCAACAACAAGACCCACTTTACTTGTCCCATACTTCTGTACGCTGAAGAGAATTATAAGAAATGCCACCGAGATCATCACTACTTGATCTGCAAAAGAAAATAAAATCTAAGAAACTTGAAACAAAAGGGCTTGAAGGTGAAAATTATAAAAGAGTGAATGGACTTCATTTTCTCGTCTGATTCTAGAAAGTTAAATAACATTCCGGATTTAGTTTTAGCACTTTCTGCTCAAGTGATATTCAGTAAACGAGTTCTCTATAAATCAGTGTTGGCCCAAATTATCGGATCTTCAATTTTACCAGCTAGCCAATAACTCACAGGAATCCCCTTCGTGCAACCACATTCATTGAGCTATGTGCACTAATTTTGCAATAATAATTAAGGACTTCATCACCACAAGATTCAAAGAACAAATACTTGAGAGTAATTGGGCAGCAGCAATCCCACATCAAACTTCAACAACATTAGATATGACAATCCAAAAATAAAAGGCTAGTAAAATCACTACATCATCAGATGATATAATTTGGCCTATATTAAGGCCATGATGGGATATCTCATATCACACACTTAGTCTTCCTTTAGCAATCTTTGTTCTGACATTATTCACTGGCAACAAACACTCAGCAATGCAACATGCAACATATTCATAAAATCCTTCAATTACTGAGCTAGGTGATGGCAGTGAAGTTTACACCTCGTTGCCCGTGGACTATCAGAATATAAAGCAAATTTGAGCCATTTCTTGATTAGCCAGTTTCATCTTTGCAAAGAGTGCTTACTTTCTATATATAGTTCCAATTTCCACAGATGTCCTTAAAGGGGTGGTACAATGGAACTTATGAGCACACCATTTGTAAGACTATTTCAGTTTGTGAAGCTTTTATAACTGACAGAGTAATAGATCAATAAAAAAATGGCAATGCTATCTATTTCAGAAAGTGAACAATTTTATACAGATAGCATTACCTTGCTTAACCCCAGAAACTCCGACTTTTAAGCCACCAACAGCAGACATTACTGCATCAACAATAGTTTAAAACAAACATTAAGTACAACAAAGAAACAAGGAAGGCTGATTTATACAAAAGAAAAAGGAACCCAGAGGACCATAATACAGCAACCATCCACTTCTCAGAACCAAAAGAATTTGTAAAATGTCCCAGGGATACCTGACATAGCAGGTGTAACAACACCATCAGCAATCACCATTGAAGTGCCAGCAAGAACTAAGATCAGAAGAAGCTTTTTCAATGTCAATGAAGCCTCTAGTCTTTCCTTTAGTTTTAAAGATCTCTCAAGTTCTGCAGATGGCACCTTTAGTCTAAAGCTTGATATGCGAGCATCTGATGGAAGTTGATTGGGGAGAAGATTAACCTTTGCATGCCTACAAAGCAATGAGTACAAAGCAAAGGTACCACCTGCAGTTATTAACCAACTAATTGGATAAATCAGAAGACACAAAACATAAAGTGTATGGTAAATGTCATGAAACAATTAGCCAGTTTAAATGATAGCTTACCTTCACCGTCATCGTTGGCCCAAAGAACAATAAGGACATACTTAACCAAGGGAATGAGGATTAAGGTATATAAAACAAGGGATAATGCACCAAGAACATCTTCATTGCTATTGACTGGGGCCTTACTAAACATCACACTAAAGGTATACAAGGGACTTGTTCCCACGTCGCCAAAAACAACTCCAAGAGTCTGAAAGACCAACAGGATTGTCCTACCCACTGAGACATCCTGCAAAATACATACAAAATTTAGATAATTCTGCATCTGTTGCTCAAAATCAAAATCATGTAAGTTTGGTCAAAACATAAGTCAAATAAAAGCTAGCATTCCCTGGAAAGGACCTTTGCCCAATGAAGTTAAGATAAAAAGCAGTATTGTCAAAGGCTTGTTTGAGGCATGCTTCAGCCCTGAAGCAAGGTGCAAACTAGGCTGAGTGCTTCGCCTCCCTTGGGCAATGCTTTAGTTCAGGCACCAAGCCTCTAAGGCTTACATCTCATCACCAATCACCCATAGGCTATGTATTGAAGAAGACAGCACTACACAATAGCTATTCCAATAATTCTTTTGTCTAAATAATTGTTGTTTTTGCTTATTGTTGTTTTCTTGTATTACATGTATCTTTCATTATATCTTCATTTGCACCTTTTTCATTAAAGTTTGCACTTTATGAGCTCTTTGCGCTTAAAATCCAACAGACCAACGCTTTTTCTATTTTTCGTGTTCGATAGAAAAAGGAGCCATTAGACAAAGCCAAAAGCAAATTGCAGGTGAAGGTTCTCATATTAAGTCCATCACTGATCGGTGGTTGACTCATTCAAGAACTTAGATGGTATTTGCATCAAAATTCGAAGAAGAGCTTTTTGCACAAATAAAATCTTTTTAAAAAAATTCAACCTAACAACAGGAAAGAAGAAATTTTCAGTTTTTTGGTGGTGTTGCTTCAAAATTTGAAGAAGAATTATTGCAAAAAAAAATATATGGAGAAGGGTTTCTGCAAAAAAAAATACATAAATATATAATAATAACTTATTTTCAACCAAACATCAAGAAAGAAAAGTTTATTCAGTTTTCCAAATAAAATTGATATCTGTTAGTGGTGCCCGACTTGGTATTTGGTTCAAAAACAACTTTTGCAAAAAAAAAAATTGAAAAAAAAATACAAAACAAGTTTCCAGATTTTTTGAAGCAAATGCCAACCTAGAAGCTTGTAGTAACTATATCATCTTTCTAGTATCTATTATTAGTACCTGACTTGGCCCATTATGACTAGCTGGTGTTAGCTCATGTGTGAAGCATTACCATTTATCTTGTAGCAATAATAGCCGGCAGATTCTTGGCCCCCTTAGTTTTTTAATGGTAAGGTACTGTGGATAACAAAAAACCACCACTAACAGATTCTAGGCCCCTTTTGCGCCTTGATTTTAGCCTATTTTGCTGGCAGCATCATTTTTCTTTTAAAAGATTTGCAGGCAATGACACTGTCAGAGCATTCACTGCAGAATGCTGGCTTTCAGCCATTTCTTCGGGCTGAAAGGCTTATTCCTCTGCACACAGCTTCAAGTTTGCTGGATAGTCATTTCACACCTTAATTTTCTGTAGGTATAGCCATCAAATGACTTCTGGCCTAGTCTCGATCTAGATTGGAAATGTTTTTGTCTCTAACAAGAAGGTAACTGGCATTCACATGTCATTCGTGGTAAAGAAACTATAGCAAGCAATGGTAGGATGTGAACTTGGACAAAGGGCATTAGCTTAGTCAGAAAGGTGAAACTTCCAGTCAGATTAAAACAGCACTAAGTGAAAGATTCTCGTGATTAACTGTCACAAAAGCAAGCAAGATTGATTACGTGAAATAAATCGGCATTGGTGAGCTGTAAAATGCATGATTAAATGCATTAATTTAATGGGATGGAGTGCAAAGTTTCAGTAGCTGAAGGAAATGTCAGCTTGCAGATTTACTGGGAGCATTGTCACAAACAGAATAGGAGAAAAAAGATAAATGCTTCTCTGATTACTAAGAAAAGAGCTAAGCACGCACCTAGATCCAGTTCAACAACTTTGTATGTTCTTTCCTTCTTCATAAAAGGCTTAAACAAGCTTGAGTTTCATGCTTCTTTCTCTAAGCTTGACTAATTCTTTCTGTCCATTTATTAAAGTTCTTGTAGTCTTCTGTTTATCTACCTCTAGTACATCAAATGAGCATCAACAGACTCCACATTTCAGTTCCTTCTTTTGTTGTTGTTAAGAAAATGATCTCACAGCAAATAGATTCTATGATAGGTTGATCATCTAAAGAAAGAACAGCAATACAGCGTTGCACCAGCCGCTGGCATTAACTAGCAACATTAGTAAACTTCATTTTTTTCAACTTCTTCAGTTATCAATTTGGAATGGCATTGGGCCAAATAAAGTGAACGGATATAGAAGATTCATATAGCTTATCACAAATAGTTTACTATTAACTGTATTAAGGCGTAGTTATTGTTATACTCCCTCCGGTCCATAATAAGTGACCTTTTAGCCTTTTTATTTTGGTCCAAAATAAGTGTCCTTTTACATAATCAAGAAGGAATTAATTTTATTTTTCCAAAATTTGCCCTTATTTACATATCCCAATGTGCCAAGGTAACAATTAATCAAGGCTGATTTAGTGAATACTATCTTTTTTTCTCTAAAAGTTTGTATTTTGTGGGTGTGCCAAAAATTAAAAAGTCACTTATTATGGACGGAGGGAGTATTAGTTTGGAAGGTATAAACTGATAGTATAAGAAGCTTCTAGAAAAATTAGTAGGATTAATAGCAAGTGCAAAATAAAGAAATTACCGAAAATTCACCTCATAGTCGTTCTTTTGAGCACCGGGAACATCAAGAGCTTCCACATCAAACGAATCAATACGAGGACCAGTACGGATCAGCTTCTGCTCTGCACTATCCTCATCATCAGAGTCCAATTCCAAGCCATTTCGCGGTGTCGAATCGCCATCTCCATCCACAGTATCGCGATCAACACTATCAATCTCCGAATCATCCTCGTCCTGAAATACCCAGCGTGATTCAATCGAATCCATAGACGCTAATCTGCCAGTTTCCCGGTCCCTTTCCCTCTCTAAACCCTCGTCCATCATCTCAAAACTACTCTCAGGCTTCGATTAGTGCGCTTGTGAATCAGAACTATGCCATTTCGAAATCAATCAACAGCAAGTGAAACGTTCCTCCGACCGTCCGACGGAGTATATATACGTATGCATTTATGTAAATATAGACGTAATGGTCTGAGAGAGTGCAATGAATCGAAACCCTAGAAGTTAGAGAAGGTTTTGGATGAGATTTTGAAAATGATTTTCAGCTGCGTGTCTGTGGTATTTTGCTTTGAATGGATCGAGCAGTGAGGGGTTACGTGGGTGGCAAGTGGCAACGCTTTTTTGTTTGAAACAGCCAAAGCGTGGTGGTGCACGCCGTGAATTAGTAAAATCTGACAACCCGCGCTTGTTTTGCTTTTAATATCTATCAAGGTGTCTGCAGCGTGATGGCTGAGTAGTTAAACCAATTACTTATGAAATAAAATTTGATGTTCCAATGCCAATTTTCTTTTGTTTTGTGTATACGGTCAAAATCAAGAGCCCAATTTCGAAGTCTTGGGCTATAAGTCCGAGTCCGGGCGACTCGAAGTGGAGGTTGGACCCGGCTGAAGGACACACACCTGAGGAAGCAGATAGAAGGCCTGGCACGAGCTACATTGAGGGCAGCACAATTTCGAAGACACTCAAGAAAGAGCGGGAATTTCTTAAGGACACGTGGATCAGGGCATAAATTATAGGATAAAATTTGTATGAAATAGTACAAGTCTGTACTAGGTCGTTATACACCTGTACGAATAGAATTTTTTATCATAATTGGAAATGTACCATATTAGGGTTTTTCCCTCCTATATAAAGGGGACCCCAATCATTTGTAAAGACATCGCATACACTACAATAGAGCATTCAACTCTGCTTTTCTTGTTTAACGTGCTCAACAATTATTCTTTAGCTTTATTGTCTTTATTTTATTGTTCATACTTTATCGTTCTTAGCTGACCTCGAGGCCCCTGGGATAATCAAGCTCGAGGCCCCTATTGCTCCAACAACACTGATTTGGTTCATCAATTCTTCTTACTTAAGCTTAATATTACTCGTATAATCACTAGTATTAGAATATATCGCATATCTTTAAAACCACAAATTATCTTTAATTGTTACTCACATTTTTCGAGGTAAACAGTTTGGCGCCCACCGTGCGGCTAAATATAATAGTGATTATTTTAGTGCTAGTTTTATGATAACACACGTTATTCTTCACACTTTTTCTTGTCAAAGATTCTTTGATTTCAGGCTAAGATATGTCTAGCACACAAAACGCACCAGCTCATGACAGTGAGGGACTCGGAGAAAATAGCGGTATAGGGGCCGGTGTACCACCCATAAACCCTAAGGGAGTGCCAAATTTGGAGCCCGTTGATATCAGTTCACATAACGCTCTAAACAAGGACGTAGGCACAGACCCTGTAAGGAATGCGCACAGGGAAGCCCGAGCCGGAGGCCAGGAAACACGAGGAGTGGAAGAAGGAGGATCAACCTCCAAGTGATATTCGAAATGCTGCAAGCTCAGCAAGTCGCCATCGCTCAACTTCAGAGTCAGAATAGGACTCCAAATACCGCCGAACCAATGGACGCCCGGCATACGAAACCTGCGCCTGAAAGGCACGATGAAAACGGCTTCGGGACTGATCCCGCTATTAGAAGGACTAACCAAAAGAATCTAGTCCAGAGAAAAGAAAATTGAAGAAAATGACAAAAAGGTGGAGACATACAATTCAAGGGTCGACCAGATACCAGGAGCACCTCCAGTTTTGAAAGGTCTAGATGCTAAAAAATTCATACAAAAACCTTTCCCCCCAAGTGCGGCTCCGATGCCCATTCCCAAGAAGTTTCGCATGCCAGATATACCGAAATACAACGGAGCAACTGACCCTAATAAACATATTACTTTATACACTTGTGGAATCAAAGGAAATGACTTGAATGATGATGAAATCGAGTCAGTATTATTGAAAAAGTTTGGGGAAACAATATCAAAAGGAGCTATGATCTGGTATCACAACTTAGCTCCTAACTCTATTGATTCATTTGCTATGTTGGCGGACGCCTTCGTGAAAGCACACGCTGGGGCTATAAAAGGTGGCCACAAGAAAATCGGACGTCTTCAAAATAAAACAAATGGGTGACGAGATGCTAAGGGAGTTCGTATCCCAGTTTCAGATGGAAAGGATGGAATTACCACCGGTCTCCGATGACTGGGTAGTTCAGGCCTTTATGTAAGGTTTGAATGAAAGAAGCTCGATTGCATCTCGACAGCTAAAGCAGAACTTGATTGAATATCCAGTTGTGACATGGTCGGATGTGCATAATCGTTATCAGTCAAAAAATAGGGTCGAGGACGACTAGTTGGGAGCCCCCTCGGGCTCAGTTCATCCTAACAGATTCGCAGCCAAGCCCCCGAGGGACACAGACCGGGGATCAAGATTCAACAAAGAACGATCTCAACCATATGCCGATCGAAGAAACAACGGCCCGAGCCACAACACCTCTCGGAGTGATCGAACAAGTGACCAAGGTCAAGGTTCTCGGGGACTCATGAGCAAGAACGGATTCGATAAGCACGTCGACCCCACCGAGGTCCCCCGATTATCAGAATACAACTTCAGCATAGATGTATCAGGGATCGTCTCAGCTATTGGGAGAATCAAAGATACTAAGTGGGCTAGGCCAATACAGACCGATCCCTCCCAAAGGAACCCGAACTTGATGTGCAAGTATCATGGCACACATGGTCATAGAACGGAGGATTGCAGGCAGCTAACGGAAGAAGTGGCTAGGTTATTCAATGAGGGCGACCTTCGAGAATTCCTAAGTGATCAGGCTAAGAATTACTTCAAGGAGAGGGATGCAGGCAGAAAGAATGAACCTGAAGAACCTCAACATGTCATTCACATGATCATCGGTGGAGTCGACATCCCATAGGGACCAATATTCAAACGTACCAAAGTATCCATCACAAGGGAGAAACGGTTTCGAAATTACATGCCCGGAGATACCCTCACATTCAGCGAGGAAGACATCGAGGCTTTATCTCAACCTCACAACGATGCACTGGTAATTTCTATCCTTTTAAATAAAGTTCAAGTTAAACGTGTTCTCGTGGTTCCAGGTAGTTCGGTAAATATAATCAAGTCAAGGGTCGTGGAGCAGCTCGGACTGCTCGATCAAATCATACTGGCATCTCGGGAATGGCTTTAACATGACAAGTGAAACAACGAAGGGGGAGATCATACTCCCAGTCAACGTGGCCGGAACCATACAAGACACCAAATTTCATGTCATTGAAGGTGACATGAGGTATAATGCTTGCTTGGAAGGCCGTGGATCCATAGCATGAGGGCGGGGCCATCAATCTTTCATCAGATGATGAAGTCCCCAACGAAGGATGGCGTGAAGACAATATATGGAGAGCAGCATGCAGCTAAGGAAATGTTTGCAGTACACAACTTGGCACCGGTATCGGCACCATCCATATCGGAAAAGTCGAAGGACGAACAGGCGGCCAAATAGCAATCACAGCCCGGGCCCTCAGTTGAGCCCGACAAGTGCTCTATAAATAGGTGGCTGAGGACGAAGAAGAAGATTTCCTCATCCCCCGAACCTTCATTGCCCCAGAGGAATCGGATGCGACAAAATCCACGGTCGAAGAACTCGAGCAGGCCACATTGATCGAACATCTTCCAGAACGAAAGGTATACCCACGGACGGGGTTAACCCCCAAACTCAGGAAAAAACTCATTCAGTTTCTCATCGATAATATTGATTTTCACTTGATCCCACTTAGATATGATAGGGATCCCACCGGAGATAACTAACTATCGACTAAGTGTCAATCCCATATTTAAACCGGTGAAGCAAAAGAGGAGACCTTAGTCCGAGGTAAACCATGCATTCATCAAAGAAGAGGTAATCAAACTTCTCAAAATAGGATCCATCAGGGAAGTAAAATATCCCGAATGGCTAGCTAACGTAGTGGTAGTCCCTAAAAAGGGGAATAAACTTAGAATGTGTGTAGATTACAAAGATTTGAACAAAGCATGCCTTAAAGATTCTTTCCCATTGCCCAACATCGATCGTTTGATTGATGCTACGATCGGCCATGAGATTCTTACTTTTCTCGATGCCTACTCCGGGTACAACCAAATTCAAATGAACCCAGAGGACCAAGAAAAGACTTCGTTCATCACGAAGTATGGTACGTATTGTTATAATGTAATGTCATTCGGGCTAAAAAATGCAGGGGCCACATATCAACGCCTAGTTAATAAGATGTTCGAACATTAAATAGGCAAATCCATGGAAGTTTATATTGATGACATGCTAGTTAAGTCCCTGCGCGCAGAGGACCATTTGACCCATTTGCAGGTGACGTTCGACATCCTTAGAAAGTACAACATAAAGCTCAACCCCGAGAAATGCACTTTTGGAGTCGGCTCGGGCAAGTTCTTGGGCTTCATGGTATCGAACAGAGGTATCGAGATCAACCTCGATAAAATCAAAGCCATTGAGGAAATGGTGAACAATGTGAAAGCCGTGCAACGGCTGACCAGACGGATAGCTGCCTTAGGTCGATTTATCTCGAGGTCATCAAATCGGAGCCATCACTTCTTTTCCCTACTCAAAAAGAAGAACAACTTCACATGGACTCCGGAGTGCCAGCAAGCCTTGGAAGAATTAAAACGGTATCTCTCGATCCCACCCCTGCTCCATACTCCAAAGGAGGATGAAACACTCTAGTTGCATTTGTCCATGTCCGAGGTAGCGATAAGCGGCGTGTTGGTTCGAGAAGAGCAAGGTACACAATTTTCTGTCTATTAGGTGAGTCGGACCCTAAGAGATGCTGAAACCAGGTACCCACATTTGGAAAAGTTAGCTCGTGCATTAATAAGCGCATCTAGGAAATTAAAACCATATTTTTAATGCCATCCTATATGTGTACTGACTACATACCCACTTTTAAATATCTTGCATAAGCCCGAATTATCGGGCATATTGGCCAAATGGTCCATTAAACTTGGAGGATATAATATCGAATATCAGCCTCGAACGGCTATCAAGTCTCAAATTTTGGCAGACTTCGTGGTCGACTTTGCGTCTGCCCTCGTACCTGAAGCAGAAAAGGAACTCTTGCTAAAAGCGGGTACGTCATCGGGGGTTTGGACCCTCTTCATCGACGATGCCTCGAATATGAAAGGATCCGGGCTCGGCATCATTTTGAAACCGCCTACGGGCAGTGTTATTAGGCAATCTATCAAAACTTCTAAATTGACTAACAATGAGGCCAAGTATGAGGCCATGATTGCAGGTCTTGAACTAGCCAAGGGCCTTGGAGCAAAGGTCATCGAGGCAAAGTGTGATTCCCTCTTGGTAGTA